CACATGCAATAACATTCAGGGGCAGAGCCACGTTGTCCTAGGGTGTCCAATTTCCAATTGGACACCCTTCGTCGAAAAATTATACTATCTATACACGTAAAATTTTGACTTTATATTGATAAATATAGTATTTTGGGCACCTTGAAATAACAAAGTAACTTGTAGTGGAGTTGGCTAGAACTGTCGCAAACCCACTCGCTGCCCCAGTTTGACTTCCCGCATGAGCGTTTCCATATTTCTGTAATTATTTTTCCTTCTTGAAGTTAATAACTAAATAAACATGCATAACTTTAACATAAATGTTCAATAGCTTGTTGGTAAATAGTGTTAAGCTTGTCTTCAGTGACCCAAGTTCAAATCTCACCTCCAATAAGAAATTATTTTCAATTAAAATTGAATTATTTCCTTAAATTTTAATATATTTTCCTTTTGAAATAAGGTTTTCTTTCTCTATAAATAGGAGACCCATTTCCTTAAATCGGCTCATTCTATTCATTGTTTTGCTCATCAACTTCAACTAACTTTTGTCGTAGTTTCAAAAAAATGTGTTCAAGTGGGAGAACTTGTGTTATTGGTTCCAAATATTTTGAATGTGTTGGGAGCTTATTTTAAACGAATGGATGAATTACGACAATCTCAAAAAGATAATCTTCAAAATGCATTAGATATGGATGAAATAGCAACAAGTAGAGGCTTGAATCAAGAACTAGATCTTATTAGAGCCGGTGATACTCGTTGGGGATCTCACTACAAAATATTTCTAAACGTTATACTTTCGTTTGACTCTATTATTGATGATGTTGATACACTTGTTGAAGATGCAAATACTTCAGATGAAAGAGCCAAAAAACATCAGGATATCTTAAAAGTTTTCAAACATATGAGGTTGCTTTCATGTTACATTTGATGAAAGATATTTTGGGAATCACTTATGATCTTAATATATCACTACAGAAAAAGGAGCAAGATATTGCAAATGTCATGATACTTGTTGAAGTAGCCAAAAAAAGGCTTCAAAAACTAAGAGATAATGGATGGGAGCCACTTATAAATAAAATATCTATATATTGTATCAAACATGACATCTTGATAGCCAATTTTGATGAGCCCTATGCTAACTTTGGAAGATCACGACGTAAAATTGTTGATCATACTGTTTTACATCATTTTCCTGTAAAAGTATTTTATAAGATTATTGATTGGCAACTTCAAGAACTTAATGATCGTTTCAATGAGGTGACAAGTGATTTGTTTTATCGAGTAGCTTGCTTGAATACAGTTAATTCATTTTCTAGTTTTGACATCTGAAAAATAATGAGAATGGTTGAATTATATCCTGATGACCTTGATCAATTTAGTATGGGAGTCCTTCAGAATCATCTTGCCAATTATATTATCGATGCACACGATATTGATAAAAGATTCTCTGATTTAGGTGGACTTGGTGAACTTTCAAGAAAATTGATAGAGATAAAGAAAAATTTAACTTATCCACTTATATTCCACTCAGTGAAATTTGCTTTGCTTTTGCTAGTTGCTACTGCAACTGTTGAAAGAGCATTCTCAGCAATGAAGTATATCAAAAATGACTTGCGAAATCGAATGGATGATGAGTTTTTAGACGGTTGTATAGTGTCTTATGTAGAAAAGAAAGTATTTCGTACTATTTCTAATGAGTCTATTATAAAAACGTTTCAGGATATGAAACCTCATCGAGTACAATTATAATAACATATTTAAATTATGCTTTCAATAGTAGTTCATTTTGTCTTTATGTCAATTTTGAATTATACACTTGTTAATTCTATTAAGAATATTCTTATATTTAATTAAATATTACTTAGCTTGATTATTTGTTTTGGTAATTTAAATCGTCATTTTTTTTAAAAAAAAATTACTATAAAGTTTGGACAACCTTCACTGATAACATTAATAATTATATTATTTATGTATATTATACCTACTAAATACATTTGTATATTAAAAAAAAAAGCAACATTTATAGTTTTTTAAGTAATGAAGAAAAATAATCTTAAAATAATTACGTATAAGAAAGAGAAAAATTATAAAATCATGTTCTTTTAATTTTTCATATACTTGATGGTGCAGAGATAATGAGGATGACGCTAATTAGCTATAGCTAAGTTAAGCAGAAAGTGAGAGATATTCCAATAAAAGAGAGAAAATATTGAGGACGATTTCAGCAGCAACTCTAATTTTTTTTCTTTTGACTTAGTTCTAATTACATAGAATGATCAAATTGATATAACGTCACACTATTTTAAATTTATTTGTTAGTCATATTCTAGAAGATTAAAATGACTAATTCATTCTAGTCAATCTAAACTTCATTAATTAAATGAGATAGTCATGTGCATATCTTTCTAGACACGCATGGTGCTAATTAATTGTAGCCGTAGAGATTAATTTTTCAAAAAAGCACATGAAGGAGAAGAAGGGAAACAATAATTTAATTACTTACATATTGTGTGGAGATAGTTCAACACTCCCAAGTAGAACATTATCTTTTTAACCCAGAAGTCTTAATAAATTGCATGTGTTTAAACTAGAACATTTTAACCTTATTTTTAATCATAACATCTCTGATCAAAATGATGTATGTGAAGAAGGAAGATTAAGTTTTGTCAAGATAATTTAGGTCAAAGAGAAAATTGTTAGTCTATTTTGCCTTAATTTTTAACCATAGTTTATGTATTTTTTTTATTATATGTAAGTCAAATATTGGCTATATATATATATATATATATATATATATATATATATATATATATATATATTATCTGATTTATTGTTGTCTAAGATTTACAATTATTAGATTTTGCATTATGTCTTGTTATTTCAATCCCAACACATTTATGAAATTTACTCTTTGCACGAGTCATTTTTGAGTCAATTTCCTAAATAGTTATAGCCACTCAAGTTGATGAATTTATGTAATAAAATTATTTTACTTTATTTTGTAATAAGAAATCAACTAAGTAATTTATTTCTCTGAAAGTCAACAACTAGGATACACAGATATTTTCTTACGTATCTATTAAGATAAGCAGACAGTGAGAGATATTCACCAAAAAAAAAAAATGAGTAGAGGGTTTTTAGAAGCACACTTAATTTAAAAACCAATTTATTCTTTTTGACTTAGTTCTAGTTGGATAAAATGTGATATAAACGTCACACTATTTTAATTTAATTGTTAGTCTTTGTCAAGAAAAAAAACTAGTAATTTATATCATAGTCAATGTAACATAAAAGATAAAAGATAAAATGTGATATAAACTTCATTGATGATCGAAGGACAAGGGAGGTCAGAAAAATAAAAGATATAGAACTTATTATTTTTATACCACCTGGAAATAAAGAAGTAATTCATATTATTATATCATTCTAGATTAGACCATAAAGAAGTAATATCATACATACGAAACATGTAAAAAAAAACATATATACTATCAGTTATTTGACATAGCTGCTATAACATATTCCCTATGTCCTAATTACTTATCCACTTTTTATTTTTTAATTGTCCCAAATTACTTATCTATTTTGACAAATCAAGAAAGGACAATTTGTGTTTACCTATTACACCCTCAATTAATTACTACTTTGAAAAAGATAGTAACTTCTTGAAAAGTATGTCAATTCAAAAGTGGACAAATAATTAGGGACAGAGGGAGTATTATATTATCATATTACATATCAATCTCAGGGACGTCTTAACCCCTTGGCCATTAAAGTCAATTGCTTGAGGTCCTATGTTTTTGGGGACTCCCATTTAAAATATATATGTGTGTGTACTATGAGTGCTATGATGTCTACTAAGGAAATTGCATATGAGATGAATATAGAACCTGAATTTCGTAAGAAACAATTTGATAAAGATATTGATAGTGAAACCACAAAGTCCCTTGAAATTAGAGTTGATTACTTTATATATATAATAGATCAAGCTATTTTTTCACTTCAAAATAGATTTGAACTAATTGAAGCATATGAAAATATTTATGATTTCTTATTTAGTGGAAAATTGAGATCACTAGATAATGAGAATTTTTTAAAAAACATTGTCTTAACCTTGAACTTTCTTTAACACATAAAAGTTATTCTGATATTGATTTATTTTTTGAATTAAAATTGTTAAGAGAAGTAATACTAGTAGAAGATAATGATTTAATAAAAATACTCAATCAAATAAAAAGACTTGATTCTTTTCCAAATACACATATTGCTTATAGGACAATGACATAATGTTAACCGTTCATGTATTTGTTGCCTCAACCGAAACAAGTTTTTTGAAACTAAAATTGATTAAACTTATTTTAGATCAACAATGTCTCAAGAGATATCGAATGGATTAGCCATATTATCAATTGAAAAGGAATTATTAAAACAAATCAATTATAAAACAGTAACGGTAAAAAACATAAAAATCGTGTAGCTATTTATTTTATAATAAATTTTCATATTTGTAATTAAAATGTTAATGTTGTAAATAAAAAGACTAGAATAATATTATTTAAATAAAGGTCTTTAATAGTGTATTCTTGTAATTTTTCCAACAATAACTAATGACTTCACATCTAAAAAATCAGAAAAGTAGATTTTAAATAAAAGTATATATGATGAAAAAATAAAATATTAGGATCCCTCTCTTAAATTTCGCTTTAGGCTCTCAATCTTATTGAGTCAGCCCTGATCAATCTTTATAATTTGTGATTATTTTTTCTAATAAGATAGTATTCCCTTTCACTTCCATAAATCAAACCAAAGACTACGGAAAAAATTATTACAGTGGAGGAAATAAACTCACACTAATATACACATTTACATACACACAAAACACATATTTATATTTTAAAAAATACACAAAAGCACATACTTATGTTATTTTCTACAATAAACAAAGTACTTCATCATACATTCTCTCTCTCTTTTTTTTTGTTTATTTCTTATGATTAACACCATGTAAAAGAATGATCTTCTTAACTGTTAGACATAATACCATTAATCTTTACATCATTTGATAATTTGTTCATGGACAAAGCTGCATTAAGAAACTCATCAATTGCTCTAATAGATGACCCTTTGAAATCCTCATCATCTATAATAGCATTACTTATCATTTCTCTAACTTCACAAGCTTTCCTTTTAATTTCATTCCCTTTCTCATTTATCCCCATAACAACCTCAATTTTTTCCAATATATCCTCATGCTTAACTGGAGAATTATTCCCTCTAGCTACCTCAACACAAACACCAACATCTTGTTCCAAGAACTTTGCATTGTAAAATTGCTCTGCTGCAATAGGCCAACCAAGAAGTGGCACTCCATTTTCAAGTGATTCCAATACTGAATTCCATCCACAATGTGTCAAGAAAGCTCCGACTGATTTGTGTGCCAAGATTTCAACCTATTGTGACAAAAAATAAAAATATGGTTACACGCTTATCTGATATTAACGTTCAAATCTCATAGAAAATTGAAAAGTAAAAAATATGTTCACCACGTGTTTGGTCCAAGTAAAAGAAGATATTAAATAATTGAAAGTGTGAAATCTCTAACAATTTATACTTTCAAATAAGATGATCGCAAACCTGAGGAGCCCATTTCGGCACTATGAGTCCCCTATTTTGATCCTCGAAAACACGTTGAACAAACCCCTCAGGAAGCCACTCCTCTGCTCTGAATTCCATGTTTATGTCAAAACCCAAAGGAGGTCTAACAGCCCATATAAAGTTTACTCTACTAGCATTATCCAAGGCTATTGCCAATTCCATCATTTGTGATGCTGATATTCTGTTCTGAGAGCCAAAAGAAATGTAAAGTACTGATTTTTCTTCTTTTTCATCAAGAAATTTGATGAACTTCTCTGTTTCTTCCCCTGTTTCATTACCAGCTCTTTGTTTATTACTTGTTGGCCAAGGTATTGGTCCTATTGCCCAAACAGGTATTCCTAATTTTCGACGAAAATATGTTAATCCAAGCTTGTCTAGACCTTCAATTGTATTGAAAAGAATCCCATCAGAGTTAATCCAGTTAGGAAGATTTTTCCAGTTGAAATTTGTGTAAGGATCATTAGAATCAGCTTCTAACAGACTTGGATTCAATTGACTAACATCAAGATTACCAGCTTCTTGAAAATCAGGCATAGTAAAAACAAAGTTTTCTGTCTTTTTATGAGGCAAATTTAGCCACATAGAGTAATAACATGCCAAGCCAAAACCACCAGCCCCACTAAAAATGACATGAAAAATTCCAAATTCATGAGCTATATTTGCTGACCATCCAAAAAACATGTCTGATATAACACAAAGTGGCTTTTCAATAAGACTAGAAAGAAGATTTCTATATGAAGGTTCAAGTGAAGAAGAAATTGTTGTAAAATGTACAGAGAGTTTATAAGAAAGTGAATCAGTGTTTTCAGTGTTTGGAGGCAGACCATGTTCTGAACTATTGAATGGAATTTCAACAAGGGAAATAGATGAATTTTGTGGTAGAGATAATTTGAGTTTCTTGATATTCAGAGGTGTATTCACAAAAATTATGTTATAACCTTTTTTTTCTAACTTAAAGGCTAATGTTAAGAATGGTATAATGTGGCCTTGTGCCATGAAAGGGAAGAGAAGAATTGATCCCTTTTTCTTCTCCATTTCTTGGTTCTTTCTACTAAAAAAAAAATTCCTGCCAAGAGTTGACATATATAGAGGTGAAGAGGAAACAAGAGGTAATAAAAGTGATTTATTTTTCCTTTTCCTTTTCTTTTCCTAAATTTCTTTTTGTTTCTCACTCGGTGTTCAGTATCTGGATTGGAACCCGACTATTTCGAATTCGCCCCACTTAGGGCTCCATACATTAAAAAAAAACGTATGTAATTGCACACATAAAATATTGAGATGGTAGAATATACACAAATCTTACTTTAATTTTGGAAGGTAAGAAAATATTTTTTTATAGACCCTTGGCTGGAGGAAAAGATGACAAATAAATAATTTTTTTTTTTAAAAAATGACAAATTATGCTGGAAAAAACAAAATTGATAATAACTGGTAAAATAGTAGTCCAACTAAAGTACAAAAATAGATTGTAACAGAAATCGAAGGAAAAAATTTATACAAGTAAAAAAGAAGAAGCTAAGAAATCAATTAAAAAGTTTTTAAAAAGTTGAAAAGAATACTACTCTCTCCGTCCTATTTTATTATCCCTCCATTCCTTTTTATATGTCATTCCTTTCTGTAAATAATTGGATTATAATACTTGTTATTTTATAAAATCAATACATAAATTACCATATTTTTCCCATTATACCCTTGATAGAGTAGTTAATTAATCTTGATACATTAACTTCTATTTCCATTCACTATTCTAAAAAATCTCATTTTGAAAAAGAAATATCAACAAATAAATTAAAACATTTTTACACAAAATATATAGGAAAATTGAGATGGGAAAAAATTAATTTTTTAAATTTTTGGATCAATCGGTGAAAAAAATTGGCTCCAAAAATAAACTCAAAAATTTAAATAGTCATCTAAATGCATTTTAATTTTTGAAATCTAACATATTCATCATTTATTATAAGTTGACTAAAGAAAACATTAAATATGGATAGAAGGGTAAAGTTACTTAATTTCTTAATGCAAGTGTAAATTAAAAAGGTGACATATAAAAAGGAACGGAGGGAGTATGTGTTAGTTTGATTCGGCCCGATACGAAGTTTAAGAAAAGACTTTTGAAACTTGTAGTCTAAAATAAGTGAGATATTTGTGTGACTATAAATCATTTCATTAAAGGTAAAATTGACATTTCAAAATTAAATTGATACTTAATATAGAAATGTGTCATTCTTTCTAAGACTGACTAAAAAAAAGTAAATCATATGAATTGGGACGGAGGGAGTAACTGTTATCGAGATTCGAGAGGTTGACTATAAAAAGGGTGATTAAGATTTAAGCAAAGATGATAACTTTTGGCTCTTGGAAATACTTTTTTAAGAACATTTCCATGTTGTGTATTATTTTCATATATTGAATTGAATTCCAAGATACAATAATTTATTACTATAATATATTGTGACAATTGCGGTGATGAGACCAGATCCTAGACAAATGCACAATGTTATATAACGTCAGACTATTTTAATTTAATTGTTTGTCTTTGTCAATAACTTCATTGATGATCGAAGGACAAGGGAGGTTACTGGTTAGAAAATATAAATGATATTGTCTTTGGTTATGTTTATACAAGCTGGAAATAAATTAAAATAGGTATAAATTAATACTAATATATAATATAAATAATATGACATGGCTACACAACATTTAAAAACATAACAGAGTATAGTTTTGGATACACAGCTTACCATAGTTATTGCTTACAATTAATGCATTCCATTAAATCCAATAAATACTTTGCCTAATATCCATAGTAAAATAAATGAGTATAATTTTGTGGAGACAGTTTTTTGAAGTACTTTGACTACTTCGACAATGAAAGAGAGAGCTTAAAAGGAATTAATTTTTGTGTATGATCTTCTAGAATGTTATCATTTTAGATAATTGACCATATAATATAATGCAAGTAAAAGTTTCCCGATTCGAAAATATATCTTACAAAGTTATTAAGTATTCAAATTTAGCAAAAGATTTTAATTGAAGGAATATATTAGAATACCGTTCCAACATTGGATTGTCTGTATGAGTTACATTTTATTTTTATTTTAAACAAAGTTATACCACTAGACAGTGGTCTAGTGGCTTTTTATTGATAATAATCATAAAAAATTCTCAATAGGAATTAGTACAAGAAAGGGAGACCAGATCTTACCTTACCAATCCTAATGAGGTACCTAACCTCTACTAATTAACAACCATGATCAAGAAAATACGAGCTAGAAAGAACTAGATATTCTATGATCATCACAAAGTTTATAATACACTCTATGATGATATTACAAGTGAGGATTCTTAAGTAATGAAAAATCATAAAGGCCATGGAGAAAGTTGAGTGATAAACGTCAAACTTCCTTTTACAAATGTATGAACTAAACAAGATAGATTGACCTTCTAAAGGAACCTGAAATATGTTTCTCTTGTCTTCTTCTTCAAATCTATCCAATAACAGTTGATAGTGCATCACTTCTTGGCTTTATTGAATCTTGTTGAAGTTGTTGATACTGTCATATGATTTTGCTTTCCGAATCGCATCGGTAGATGCCTTGGAACAAATTCCTCAGTCACTTTACCATCCCAACTATGCTTTCTTCCATGCTTCATTTTGTTGTTGCGTTGTTGCCTAGGAGAAATATTTGCATTCCTAGCTGCAATTGCAAAACAATGATCCAACATTTCCTCTTCCTCACCTTCCTTACCCTCCTCAAAGATGTCCTCATCATCTAAGTTAGCAAACTTATTTGGGGACAAAGTACCACCAATTTGAAGTTGTTTGTTAATGTTAATCAGTGCAAGTGAAGCCATTTTTTCAATATTAGAACTCACCAAATCATCACTCAAGATTGCAGCAACATTTGTTGATGGTGACAAACTTTGTTGGGGAGTTACTAACTTGGCACTACTAGGAACAAAAGCAGAAGTTGTTGGGCTCAATTTCTTTTGCATAGGAGGAGAAGTGACTTGTTCTTCCTCTTGATATGCTATATCTATCCATCTCAGAGTAGTTGTCGCACCTTGTTTTTCCTTAGAAATAACTAATTCATTTGTAGAGTTAACTTGAGATGAATTGATCTCATGCACTATATTATTCGTAAAAGCATCAAAAGTGTTAAAACACATGACCTCCTGTGGAACAATTTCTCGAGCACCTGAATTCATAGTTTGACTATCTACAACTGGTTGCACTGTGTTACTAATAGGCGAACCAATTCCAATACTTGGAGAATTTTTCTTCGTCACCACAGCCCAATTAGATTCATGTACCAGTTCCACTCCCTCACATGTACTCTTGGAACTCATCAAGGCAATTGAATTAGTTCCGACATCACTTTCAATTTTTCTATTGGTATTGTCGACCTACTTTGTCATGTTGTCAACCAAGCATTCAATAGTTTCAACACCTCGAGCATCATGTTGCAGTCCATCTGCCACTACCTTCGCATTCATGGGATTTAATGCCAAATCAACGGTTGCGTTAGTTGCCAATAGATGTCCCGATTTCTCAATAAGCACCACATCACCTCTGGTTCCATTTAGTTGATTCCCATCATCTATCGCCGATGCCACAATTGTAGCTGGATTGTTTTGACCCTCATCATCAATGTGAACTAGAGTAGGATTTGTACTCAAAGAAAGTTGATTTTCATTCAATTTTTTCTTCAATGTTTCAGTAGCTCCAACTTTATTCCCTGATTAATGAATATCATTAACACTCTTAGAATCAATCTACAAAAAACCATTTTTTCCACCTTCGTTATTAATGCTTATTTCTCCGGTATTTTTAATGCCAAGTCTTGCACCAGTAACACTTTTGTTTTCAACAGTGTTGTTATTTAATTGCTGCCTAAAATCAACTTGCGATTCTAGGACCAAAGTATTTCTAGTGGTTAAACTTTGATCCCCTGAAGCCAATTCGTACGCAACTGCTTTGCCTAAGAGTTGCTCAAAATTTTCTTTATTTTGGCACTCCAAATCTCGTGCCACAACTACCTGATCATGGACACCACTTTTATCCAGGGGCGGAGCCAGTATGTCTTTAGGGGGTTCATCCTTCGGCGGAAAATATTACTATATGTACATGGTTAAAATTATTTTTTAGATGAATATAATAGATGTCGAACTCCTTCGACTAGTTCGTATGTTTACTCCTTCGGATTTTGAACCCCCTTATTGAAAATCCTGGCTCCGCCACTGCATTTATCAACCACAAGGAATTTATTTTCAGCCCTCTTTTCATCTAATATTTCTCGAGCATGACCTTGATATTTTTTAATCTCAGAGCCTACTTGCGATGCTTCTTCTTGGTTTCTTGCTGCATTATTTCCCAATAATAGTCAACATTCACTTTCGTTGTGGCCTTGGTGCTTACAAAAGTTGCAATAAAACTGCAGATTATCATACACAAACTTCTGAAATTGCTCCACACTTTTTCCTGTTTTCTAGTCGACATATTGAATTCTCATTCGATGTGGCAAATTTTCTAGCAAATCAAGGTCGACTTTAACTCTAGCCGTGCTAGGTCTCGACTTATCTTGAGTGGCTTTATCAATCGCTATTGGCTTACTAGCAGCCGAGGCAATTGACAGTAAGGATTGTTTTGCAAAAAACTCTGGCGGCAAGTTAGGAAAAGATATCCAAACAAAAGCTCTTGATGTCTCTTCTTTCGGATTGAAGCCAATTGTCCATGGAAATACTCTAAATTGCTTTTGTAAACCATTGTACAAAAGGTACTGAACAGTTTTAGCTGCAGCTAATACATAATCATCACATCTATCGAATCTCATCAAAATATGTTGACGCGCAAGCCATCCGACAAGGCAACGACCTTGAGTTCCTAGTTGTATAGGCAACAACTTTCGTACCTCTTGCATATTAATTGGATCCTGTGAAAACTTGAGAACTAGAGCTTGATGTAGACCTTCTTCCATAGTGTATTGATTTATCTCCTCCATTGTAAATGTAATTGTAGGTTCTCCATGAAT